TGAAAGCATCGGCTTAAGGCAGACTTTAGGCATGAATTACTTTGAGTTCATATAAAACTCAAACTTTGCGATCTTAACTATGATTTTAACATCTTTAGAAAGCTATAACTACTTAACTATAAACTACTACATTAAAACTGAAAAAAGTAGAAAGGTTTAGGCTATCTGTATATCTGTAATATAACAAAATTTCTGCTACTCTATATAGGCTTAAAATACTTTTAGAAGAGCAGAGTAAGTCTAAGAGTAAGTTATGCCAAAGCAATTCAGATTTCTTAGTTAGCAAACTGTAGTTAAAATAAAACAAATCTGAGTTTAAGCAACATTATCAGCTTACAGCCAAATTACATACGGCAGACCTTGTTTTTGGCCAACTGACTGACCAAAATGAAAGCCCTTTAGCTGCTCTTGCCTACGCCCACACACGCACACACACTTTTTGCAGAGCTGCATTTGGCTTGGCTAACGAAGGAAGGTTTTTCCCGTTGTTTGGCTGAGTGGAAAAGCAACTTGAAAGCTCACTCGAACTGCTATCGTTAGCTGGAGCAGAGCAGGAAATGTACGAGTTTCCGCAAGGAGCGCTCACCAGGCATTTCAAGTACGTGTGAGTGTGTGTGGGACTGGGTAGCTGTGTGGCTTGCATCCGTTGCACATATAGAGAGTGAGGCAGAGAGGCAGAGCCCGCACCCAGTTGCCGACTGCTAGATGCAGATAACAGGCATATACGTTGTCAAGATTTGCTTTGATGTCTTTTTCATGTACCGACTGAATCGAAACGAGCCCGAACCCTGCGCCGAGCGGTGCCGAGGGGCGGTCGCTTTTTGGGTGCGGCTGCTTTTTGTGTCCATCTCTGTGTGGGTCGACGACAACAATTAAAAAGTGACGGGCTGCATTGACGGGGCGGTGTCACGGTGCTAGCTGCGAACCTAAGTAGGCAGCAAATACATTTATGTACAACAACAGCAACAGCAACAGAAATAAGCTGGGCAAATCTTCGTTGCGCTGTCTCTATCTCCCTCTCTCTCCCTCTCTCCCTCTCTCTCTCTCTAAGCATTTCAATTGCCTTTGTTGTCGAACAAGAAATCCCCCCTGTTAAAACGCTTTGAAGTCGAGACCGTCTCTCTAACTGTACATTTATCTGTAGCTGTTGCTGTCTCTGTTATATTTTTGGACCAATTTTATTAGCAAAGGGTTGGCCGAACGCCCGCTTTGAAGTTCAAGTATAGCGACTGAGCATTATAATTTCGATATATATATATTTATTTGTATATATACATATATAAATACGCATGTGCACATCAAACATGAATACACGAAGCGTCGTCAAGCGTCACAAATTGAAATATCACATAAATTTGCCATGCGGCCGTCGCGCTTTGTAATAAAAGTAAATAATAATTTAATAAAAGCCGCAAAAAGCATTTAACGCTCGACGGCAAAGAACAAAGGCAAACACAGCCAACAGGCAACAACTAAGGCCAAAAGGCCGCCGACAACAGCTGGCGATTGGCGGATGGCGGATGGCGGATGGAGATGCCGATGCCGATGCCAATGCTGATACAGATGAAGCTTCAGATATAGACAGTGCAGCACCTCATGCCTTCCACATTCGAGGAGCGTGCGAGCGCCCTCTATGTGTCAGTCATTCAAGTGGCTTTTAAACGCCGCCGCGCATGCGCTCTGCTGGCCCAATGCCTGATCGCTGGCTTTGTGTGTGGCGGTGGCTGGAGACCGCTTCAAATTGATTTGAGCGAGCGCAAAGGCTATGGACAGTTGATAAGAGCGAGCCGACAGCGAAGTTTTCGCACGGGTGGCGCGGACATCCATAAAGACAGACGGACAGACAGAGACTCGGACCAGCCAGCTAGCCAGTCAACGGTTGTGGGTATGGCGGCACATCAAAAGCTGCAGACCAGAGACGCCTTCGGGCCAAGCTAAAATGAGCACATGCACATGAAACTGTGCGAAGAGGAGGCGGGGCACACACACACACACACAGATACTTTGCAGTGCGGGCGATCGAGCGATTCAGCGCGTCCAGCTGCTGGGCTAATCAAGCCAGCTCATCGCAAAGTCTTTAACAGTTAGCTGAGTCGACACGTGGCAAATGCATTAGTCGATCAACAAATGGCCATTTGATGGGCAACTGGAATGCGCCGAGTAAATAATTAAAAATCAATTACAATTGAATACATTTTTGTTATTTCATCACGTTGATTAGGGATATCAATGAATGAACGAATGAATATCTAATGAATGTTTGTTTTAGTCTGTTAATGAGTTTACAAATGGTAGGAAATGAAATTATGAAAATCAAATTAAGAGTAGAAAGCTTAAAAGATGATTTCTGGTATGGAAAACTGCTCAGATAACTGTCTATATATATATATATGTATGCTATGTATAAGGTAGCTTAGGATAATATTGAGATATAAATACACAAAGAAAATAATATTTAATATAAGCTCAAATATAACTTATTAAATACTTAACTTTATGAGAATCGCAGAGGGCGGCAAGAGTGAAAATAAAGCAATTTTCTTCAATGCTCAAGCAGCTGCAAGTTACAAACACATGTAAGCAAATGAATATGCAGAGACATTGATGTAGCTATATATATGCATGTCCTTACATACACACACATACATACACATGCATACATACATTCATACATCCATTCATACATAGATATATTTTGTATTTATTTTCATTTATTAAATTCCCCACAAAGAACGCCTGACACACTTTGCACTAGGAGTCACAGCACTTGACGCGCTTGAATTCATGAGAATCGCATAGTAGAGCGCTATTAAAGAATGCAATTTATTCATTACCAGAATAGTTTTCATGCATGTAGTTAAAGCAGACTTGGCTGATATTATACTGAAAAATAAGTAACGAAAAAAGTGTATACGACTAGATCATACCCTTTAATATTAACTTTTTACAGGGTAGCTGCACTTCGCACACTTCGATTTATTCTTAATTTGACTTTTCACATGTCCTCTGACTTTTTGCTATGTTGTGTTATTTTTGTCTGCTGCAACAGCTGCTGCGGCTGCTGCTGCTGCTGTTTTGTATATATTTTAATTCTGATTTCTTTTCTTTTTTTTGTAAACTGTGAACATTTATGCAAATTTTGTTGTTGTTTTTGTGTGTCAACAGCAATCTGTGGGCCTCGCAGTGGGCAGCGATCGATAATGCAAATGGGCAACAACAGCTGGCGATGTTTTTTTGTGATTGCTGTGAGAGAGGGCGAGAGCAACTGTATCTGATGGCTGGTCGCACAGGGCTCAAATTGTATGCAACATGAACTTTAATTTGTGTATTATGAATTTTGAATATGAAGCAAAGGCAACGACGAGAATGTGACTGCCTGCCACATGCTGCATGTGCGGCTTTCTGTTGTCCCGTCCAGGTCCTGTAAGCCCGGCTCGGGCAACTTTGTGCCGTTTGCTTGTTGCGTAACTCAAAAGTAATTAAATTGCAAACTGCACACAATGGGGCACACACACACACGCACACACACACGCACACACACACGCACACACACGCACACACACACAAGCACACACACAGAGAGAGACAGAGTTGGAGAGATTTGTAGCATGTGCGTGGGATTTGGCCAGGCAAAAGTCAAGTGTTGCAGCTACAAAGTGTTGAAAGGGAATGAAGCGAGCAGAGAGCAACGGGCAGCGGGCAACGGACAACTGGCAACATGTTGACAGCATTCCCCCTTGGCCAGTTCCTGTCTGGGGCAAAAAGTTATAGTTATGATGATTGTTGATTTACAGTTTAAAGTTCTAGTTGCCGTTGCCGTTGCCGTTGCAGTTGCCGCTGCCATGCTCCCTTTGTGGCCGCATGTAGCATGCAATTAATTTTGTAGCTTGTACTTCAAAGGCGCCACAAGCCGCTACGCATATTGCAACCGAAAAGGGCAGCTGCAGCAAGCGCGGGCCGGGGAGCCACTGTCAATGGGTCTTTGATGCTGCCACATGCCACCGCAGCCCTCTTTAACATTCAGCATTTGTCGCCCAGCGCTGACAGGCGCCCTAATGCTCGGAGCTGGCTAAGGGGCGCCGGGTTTTCGATCTCTGTTCCCAGCGGTAATCTGAGAACTTTGGTATGTCTGCGCTTCAATGCATTTGCTGCTGTCAAAGTCAAGACTTCTGCTGCGTCTTCTTCTGCTTCTTTTTGTGGTTGACAGCGTTGACATCCCTGCCGCAGCCAACCAACTCCTTGCAGCCCACCGTGCGACCTTCAACGAAGCCGTCGCCGTAGTTGCGATCTAAGCCAGATTTATATTGCTCCGTCTATTAATGAGATATGCTGCACATAGCGCTGGAGGTTGCGGTTGCCGTGCCACCTTGCCGAGCTGCATATCAAATTTCGCACAGATCTAACCAAAAATATGCGCATAAAAAGGCTTCGGGACTAAAAGCTGAATGGCAGTTGAGAAGTCAGTGGCTGCCTGTGCCCCTGCCACATAAGCGTGCAGCATAATTACACTTTTATTAACATGCAACAAGAAGGAAGCCAACTGAATAATTGCCCCAGCTGTGGGCGCTTTAGTTGGCTGTGCCACCCAAACCCCTAACGCACCAGCAACTGCCAAAACCCACTTCTGCCTGCCCCCTAACCTCGCGCTGCGCAGCTTTGTGTGCGCTGCTCTAGGCATGGCTTGAATGTTGAATGCAAACAGGTGCCAAGGCAGCTCCTCATTTGCACCCCAGCTATTCCCAGCTGCATCCGTACCGTCGCAACGCATCGCATCGCATCGCATTCACATCCTTTAGAGACACTTGAGGCGCACTCGGCTTAAATGAAGTGCACACGCCGTCATGCACATCAAAGCGCGCCGACAGACGACGCCGCCGCTGGGGCAGCTAATTAGACACGCCTCCATTGGCATCGCCGCCCGTAATTAACATTAACTGTTACTCACACTTGAATGCTACCCGAAATATATATAAAAAAAAACAACTCACTGTTTTTTTTGCTTTATCTTTTTTAATAATATCCGCTGGCTGTTGTTTTTATGCTTTGTTGCACAAGAGCAGGAAAAAATCGAGGGAAAAAGAAATCAAAGTAAATAAAAACAAGCGATCGCAAAATAATGTTCATTTCGACTTGTACGGCTAAATTAAGGTGCTACCAGCTAAAGTTAATGATTAGTTTGAATACCCTGTACTCTGAGCAAGAGCGGGAGTTTGAATCTGAATAGGAATTATGCAAGCCCGGCACACACCTTGATAATGATAGACGCATAATATATGGCAGCTAAAGTTATCCAACTTTCAGATTGAGATTATCTATTATAAATATCAGCTTCCCAGCTCCTTCGATCAATCGAACAAATTATTTAAATAAAACTGTCACAACACATTCATTTCACTTGCAATATACATATATATAATATTTCTTGAAGCTTGCTTAAACATTGAGATTAAAAAATATACAAATCAGCCGAACTAAATACAAATTGCAATATTTAGTTAAATTCCCTTTCACGCACTTGATTTCGTTAAACGAATTTAAATTACAGTGCGAAGTATGACAATAAACAAATAAGAAATAGTAAATAACAACCTTAGCTGCGTATTGGTTGCTATGTTGCATCGGACAGTACACTTAATGTCGTAACTACATAGAATATCGTTTCTGAACTCATATCACGGCTACTTTCTAAGCTAGATATAATATAAAATAACAGAAAAACATTTTCTGGGTGCACAACAACAAGAAATCATTCTTACATTAATAGATATATAAGAGATATTAGATACGACTAAATACATATCTTGCCTATACATATATGTATGTCTGTATAGCGATAAGGTTTGAGAAATCTAGAGATATATCGTTATGTCCTGCCAATAGCTATCCTTATGGCTATAAAAACGCGTGTTCCATCTTTTCTTCGTGCGATGCTTTCTGTGTTGTATAAACTCCCTGATTGACGTACAGATCCAGAGCAGGCGCTGCAGCAGTCGGTGGCGGCGGGGTCAGATCCAGCGGAGTTGTCGAGTTGCTAGAGGGCGTTGTCGGTGTTGTCGAACTGAAGCTGGAACAGCTGGAGCGTGCCGACAACGATTGTGCCGAACGCGTTCTCCTCAATGGCTCTGTGGAGCGGGCGCTTGCACAGCTGCTGGGATCCCCATAGCTGTGCACGCGTCCCACGGTCTTCAGCATAGTGCGATACGGTTGCTGTTGCTGATCCTGTGCTGCTTGACTGTAGTACGATCGACGCAGTATACACCAAGTGACCACAAATGGCACCGTCAAAATCCCAAAAATGCCCAGCGCTATAATCAGAAGCACGTCCAAGGCTTCAGAACGCCAAAAGTTGAGCGTGTTGGCATGAGACTTTAGGAAATTTGCACCACCTGTGCTCAATATCAGCTCAATGTGGCTAAGCGCTCTCGATGAAGCTTCTGAATTGGCAACACCTAGACGCTTCTTCAATTCACCCAAATTCTGTCCATAGCTTTCATTTAGCGTAAGCTGTCGTATGCTATGAAGCAGTGCATCATAGGCTAACGCATCGTAGGCGACTGTTAGTGCAGCGCCTTTCTGCTGCAGCCGCTTGGCCAGCACCTCCTGCTCGGCCAGTATGGGTATGGCAAGTATGGGCGTATCACCCGCAATGGACTCCCAAACGCTGAGCTGGCCGCAGCTGCTAATAAAAACTTTGACCTGCTGATGAGCTGTAAATCAAACAACTTTGGTTACTACAATTCAAGGAAAGGAAGCTGACGAACCATACTCGGCTATAACTTACCCAGTATGGCCTGCTGGGGCCACCAGCTGTTGATCATTATATTATCTGGCAGCGGCTGCACAAACTCCTCCACCTCCCATTTGAGCAGAAAATGAAATTCCTTGAGATGCGCAAAGACATCCAGCAATATGGACAGCTTTTCGCTGGGCAACTGAGCTGTTTGCACTTCCGCGCCAAGACTCATGTAAATTACACCACTAGACGCAGCCTCCATAAACGAAAGCACATGCTAATAAGCAAACAACCAACAATTAGTTTTCCAGTCATAATAAGAACAAATTAAATTACATTTGGCACTTGCAGCTCTTGTGGCTCTAGCAAATGTAGGCCGCCCACTTCCAGCATATTGGGTAAATAGGCGCGAGGGTAATCCATAGCAGGATGCGAGTTGATCAAAGCAAGACTCAAGTTTTTGCTCAAATCTCGATAGTTCGGCAGCTCACGCACCAGCAGCTCGAAGTGATTTGAGTAAACGGATTGCTGCGAGATCAGGTGGAAAAAGCTGCAAAACAGAATCAATCAGGCGGGCTATGAATGGAAAGTCTGTCTCCTACTCACTTGTAGGTCAAACGCTCGAATGTGCTCATTAGCATGTTTGCTACACGCTCCTTTGTAGTCATGCGCTCCGTGTAGGGTAGAAAGTTGCTCGGATCGAGAGAAGCTGATTGAGGATTGCCAAACATGTTGTTGAGCCATGAATTGGCACCGGTGGGACTAATTGCAACGGTGGGCACACCATAGTAATAAGCGAGGCTGTAAGAAAATTCAAAGTTTAGACAATTCCATATATCATTCTGCTCTCGCCACCTACCCAAGTAATGCGTCACTCAGAAACAAATCCACGATAAGTAAATCAAATTTTTCTCCGCTGGTTAGGAGCTTTTGCACCTGTGCATCCGAGAGTAGCAGGTCCACATTTGTGGTTCCCGCATAGATCATACGGGTGAAGCGTTCCATAACGCTCTGAGCGTGCATCTGTTCCGCCTCGAAGCTCATGCCCATGTCTAGCCAATTCTGCTTTAAATCCTGATCCTCAATGCGTATCTCACGTATTCTGTTGAGGGCTGCCCCAGCATCCATCTCTGCCAATGCATGCGGGCTTATCAGCGTAACCGAATGATTCTGTGGACCGGCCACCAGTTGCTGCAGCAACCGACGTCCAAATAGATAATGAGATCTCCAGACGCTGGGCAGCACGGCCAGGATGTTGGCTCCGGTTGCATGGCTGCAAAGCAGCCAAAGCGACAGCAACTGTAGCAGTCGCATCTTGCAGTGCAATGAACCTCGACGTGTCCTCGGCTACGGACCTGTTTTAATTTTCCGGTTTTTGCAACCAACTTCCTCCCTTTCGTAGAGCCGTTGCGGCCTTTCTATTATTATCTGCTGCTAGTGCTGCAACAAGACTTCATTGTCGCTACGGTTGCACTGAAGTCTTACACAATCCTACATTGCGCTTAAGCGCTTTGTTAATTAATGCAAATTGGTTAAAAATCGCGAAATTTGTGTACAAAATGCGCAACGAAAGTGAAAAGAACAACAACAACAATGGAAATACGAATGTGCGAGGGCTACAAAGACTCATGCTCACGTCACTAGTGAATGACAAATTTATACGTTATCGATGAGTAATAAGTAAGCAATGTATCGATACCATCATAGTATAAATCTACCTGATGTAGGTAGCTTGCTTTAAGCGTTTTACCTGAAGATAAAACCATTTCTGTAAGAGCTAAAAAAATTAGCTGCATCTGTATTTTAAATGTGTTAGTAAGTCACAAAAGTGACTCCGTAAATTTTTTAATTTGCACACAGTATGTCTCATTTGGTATAAATGCATCCATGGTATTCATTAAAAACACGTGAACAACACTCATTTTTATACAAAAACAATAGATACAAATTACCAATACATTATTCATGTGATTAATCAAATGACTGTCATATTGCCCAGCCTCTTACTAATATCATTAACCGTTATTATTTAAACTATGATTATGCGCACTTTACGCTGTGGTAAATAGTCTCTATCGATAGTTATCCGCCTAATCGGCTAATCGTTGGATAAAAAATAAATAAAAATAAGAGTGGGCCAAAAAACATGCGAATTAAGATACAATAGAATGTATTAAGACAGATTACTGCTTGTGTGAGTGTATGTGTGTGTGTCTTTTAGTATTAAAATGTATATATATATATATAAATTATATATATAACTTTGTCAATTACCCAATTGTTAAATCATCAACAGATGTATGTGCTAAGTAGGTAGCAGCCGGTGGGGTGTCTACAACAACACCTCTGAAATTTTATTGGAACTGCGCCAGCGAAAAAAAAAAACTGCAGCATTGAACCGCATTGAATGGCGGAATTTTAGCTGAGAACGAAACACCTGCTTGCAACTTATCAGAGTCAGCGAGCGTCGGCCCTAAGTACACACAACTCGAGTGTAATTGTAACTAAGTGGCGTACGGATAGGATACGAGGCAGAAATAGGGGCAATATATCACGCATAATTTAAAGCAGCGACGTCGACAGCGAACTTTACGTAATCGCAAATAACGGACTAAAGTTTAAATTCCAACGACATGGCGGAGAAATGTGAGTTGTCTCTCGAAATTGAAGTAGATATTTGGAATTCTGAACGCCATTTCATATCGTAGCGCTTACCGATGTGGAGAGTCTGTTTGATTTGAAGTCGTTTACGAGTCGCTTTCAGTACTATGCCTGGATGACGGACCCGCGCACGGTGCTGGTCTCCAGCGATCGTTTGCTGCAGGCCAAGCAAATAGTGGAGAGTTATCGTGCAGGCGAACAGTCGCCCAAGCTAACACCAGCTGACATGAAGTACAATTTAAAGCTATATAGCTCAGCATTTCATCCGGATTCGGGCGAGCTGCAGAACTTTGCCGGTCGCATGAGTTTTCAGGCAAGTCGCGTGACAGTCAGCTGCAGCCATGCTACCTATACATTTATATATAGCGAACTGCTGTCGTCATTTCTACTGATATGCACTTGCCAAATAATGCTCTGCATCGCTTCTTTGTTTAGGTGCCTGGGGGCATGTTGATCACGGGCGGCATGTTGGCATTCTACCGCACCGTGCCCGCTGTGGTGCTCTGGCAGTTTCTCAATCAATCCTTCAATGCGATCGTCAACTATACAAATCGTAATGCCAATTCACCCACCAGTGTTACGCAGCTGGGTCTGGCTTTTGTTTCGGCAACTGGTGCAGCGCTAGTTGCCGCAATTGGCTGCAAGAACTACTGGGCGAAAAGGGCAACGCCATTGTTGCAACGCTATGTGCCGTTTGCGGCTGTTGCAGCAGCGAACTGTGTCAACATTCCCTTTATGCGTCAGAACGAGATACTCAACGGCATTGATGTAAAGAATGCCGATGGCGAGATTGTTGGTCAGAGCCGCTTGGCCGCCATTAAGGGCATCAGCGAGGTAATCATATCGAGAATTACAATGGCAGCACCAGGCATGCTGTTGTTGCCCGTCGTCATGGAGCGACTGGAGAAACTGCCAGCCTACAAGCGCATCAAATGGATAAATGCACCCTTCCAAACAATCATGGTGGGCTGCTTGTGAGTAAAATACAGATGTTTTCCTAATTATGTGAATCAGACTAATTTGGCTTTGGTGTTTGCAGCCTCTGTTTCATGGTGCCCACGGCTTGCGCGATTTTCCCGCAACAGTGCAGCTTGGATAGCAAAACAATGAGCACCTTCGAGCCGGAACTCTACAAGGACATGGTCAAGCGCACTGGTGGCAATGTGCCTGAACGTGTCTACTTCAACAAGGGTCTATAAGGCGCTAAAGAGCTTCGAATCGTCTGCTAGACACTTAGACAATAAATGTGTTAATTGTTGCTTAGGCATTTATAGAAACGCGCAACGCAATTGTTCCTGGTTCCTTGTCACATGGGAGTAGTCAATGTTCCAAACTAAATGATATCGTAATTTGTGTTTACTGTGAACTTTTTAGCATAGTGAATATGTCTTGTAACGTATGGGGCTCTGTAAGCTAAAGTGAAAAATAATTTGATGCTAAATTTTAATTTAATATACAGTTTAACGGCTGAAAATGTGAACTAATCTAAGCTAAGTTTCTCAGCAAGATGCAGGTTGACTCGGAACATTTTATAATCTTCAAATAACTTCATTGACTTACTAATTCTAATCTGTTAATTGCGTGTTAAAACTAAGTCAGTAGGGCAGCACTTAAAATAAATAACAAAAAAATAAATTCACAAAAATAATATGAAAACAAAGGAGTTGCGGGCTTATAAACGGTTTTATTAGGTATATTGTTGTATCTTGTATATATGTATATATATATGTATATATATATATACCTATATATATATATATTTATATATATATATGTTGTAATTAGCAAATGTTTGCGGAATTTCTTCATTGGATTGTGTTGTAAAATTTACAAAATGTGCAAAACACAACTAGTTAGATTATTTGTTCACTTTAAATCTTGATTAATTACGTGGAGACTTTCGTATTTATTGTACGATTATTTATCGGGCATTTAAACATAGTTTGTGCTCTTGTACTACAACAAATGATCGCATTTATCTTTGCGTTTTTAAATGTACTTTTTGTGTCTTTTTTTTTTTTTGTTTTCTTGATTTTTTGGACATTTTTTAAGGTACAATTTGAATTGATTTTTTGTTTTTTTTTTTTATAGTTATTTGTTAAAAATGTTGGCACTGTCGCAAAATACTAAACATTGATGAAAAAATTCAACACTCAGATGTACAATATGTAAAATTGTGTGTTTCACTTAAGTGTAAAAACTAATTCACGCCCTCAAACGGTGCGAGGGCCGCTCTATAACAACTCTGCTGCCTGGCAGCCAATTTCGTTTTCAATATTTTTTCCATGCACAAGTTTTGTTTTCTCTGTGTGGAGTGCCATTGAATCAGCAAACATTTAATTATCATATATTTATTAATAATTAATAACTTTTGCAAAACTGTCGATACACACAAATATACATTTGTGGAACATTTAAAAATAGTATTTTTAAAATTATTTTTCGTTTTTTGTTTTCATTTATTTACTGACTGAGGCATTCAACAATTAAATCGCTTGGATTGCGCATAAAAATTATTGCAAATTTCATTATTCAATTGGTATATATGTTGGATTTATTTGTTTTATGTGTAATGGGGCTCGTCCGATCAGCTGGAAAAGCTTCGACCCAATATATATTTCATTTTGGTATACGTCCAATTGTGTGCACTTTGTCGACTTATAATGGAGGAACTCTTTCCGTTTTAGCTGCCTTTACAAACGTTGCACGAAAAATTCACTTAAATTTCAGACTGTTTTTTGTCATCAACATTTCAGGGAATATGCCATGAATAATAATCGATGCCCTTTGCAATTTGATAGGGTTTTAAATGAATTTAATATCTCGTCGCAATATTGCGTATACGCCCTGCTCTTTCAGAAGCCGTCTACCATAACAGAGAGTTAACAGCATCGCATATTGTTTAACATAATGTTAAAGAATTTATGCAGCAGCTATTTGAATATAAGTTTTATTTCGACAGATTCTTTTGCGTACTTCTTTGTATATCTCTTCTTCATTATAATCTTTACCTTACTCAAACTTTTTCTTCAGCTTCTGCACATTTCTCTAAGATATTCTGTACAAACATTATATATTACTTTTCTTTCAGCAATTCAAAAAATCTGTGCATTTTCGAAAAGTATGCAAAACTCTCTCTCTCTCTCTCTCTCTCTGGCTCCGTTTTAATTTTAATTTTTTTTAGTTAGTTTAATGGATTTTCATTCCTTTAAAAACCATTTAAGCTTGTTTTGTGTCTTGTTTTTTTTTTCTTTTATTTCTTTGCGCACAGCCTTTTTTTTCTCAAAATTTTTCTGGTTTTTCTTTGTTTGTGTGATTCATATGTATTGTATATTTATTGTTCATACATATATATATGAATATATATATATATATATTTCTATTATGTAGTTTATATATTTGTAAACCGTTTTTCGTGTTGACGACACCTGATCATTTTTTGTACCAACTTTGCCTGACTGCATATACATAAGTATACATATATATCTAGGTATATATATATATTTATTTAACAGTATATGTTCATGTACATAAGAATCCATATATTACTTCAAGCCTGCTCGCTTTGGAGTACTTCAAGCCTTTGCATATTTCAGCATTTTTAGAATATCATTTTCAAATTGTTTTCTTTTCATTTTTTTTTTTTTTTTGGTAAAAACTCTTAAAAACTAGACCAAAAATTAAACAAAGAGCAGCAGCCGCTTTAGTGGGCGTGCCTCTTAGATGTTTTTGAATCTATACTTCAACACCATTTCCCGGCGCTTCTAAAACCTTAGAAAAATAGCCAAACCCTGTTGCTGCTAACGACTTTTTGTTTGTTTCATTTTGTTCTTTGTATTCTTGGTTGAAATAGAAAAAATAATAATAATTCTTTTCTTTTCTTTGCTTTTAGTTTATTTCTCATTTTAGTGTTTAATATTTCATCGCCTCATTGCCAAATTGAAAATCTGTTTTCCTTTTACATTTAGATGACTTGGCTTTCAGTAGTTCGTATTATAGAATATATATTTTATAAATTGAATTCTTGTTTACGTGTATATAACAATCATACATTTAAAATTTATAAACGTTGGTTTTTTAGTAAAATTAAAAGAAGCCATGCGCATAAAAACAGATTTCTCATTTTTTTTAAGTTTAAACTTTATAAATAACGCGTTTCGTGTTTTTCATTTTATTAATATTAATTGTTTGTTTTTGTTTTCATATTGAACTTGCTTTTGACTTGGCTTACGAATTAAATACAAACATGTACATAAGGTTCATAGAAGTATGTATACAGTATATATAAATATATTTCATATATATATATTTCCATTTAGTTGTGTGAATAAATTTCAAATATTATTTTCATTTTTCATTCCCTTCAGATCTATTTCTTTTCTTTTTTTGTGTGTTAGACTTATAAATTTAACTAGAAATTATATTTTAATTTTATAATTATATTATTTTATATTCTTTATAAATGTATATGTATGTGTGTGTGCTTGTTTTGTCTGTGTGTGTATTCGACAACCAAAGTAGGAAAAGGAGTTTTGTCTTCTGCATAGTTCCCAGCTATTACGGCTCCTCACTTGCCGCATCCACCGCGTTGGCTGGCACCAGCTCCACCACTGAGACAGCCTCGGCCGTGGTCGTTGTGGAAGTGGATGAGCTGGTGGTGCTGGCCGGTGACATGTTGTCAGCATTGCTGCATGCCAGCCCCATCGGCGGCGGCGAACTGGTTGCTGTTGCTGTTGCCATTGCTGCTGTTGTTGTTGATTCCTGACTTTGACTGGGGGGCAGCACAAAACTCTTTCCCATACACTGGTCTCATTTAAGACCCGTATCCGACGATGGCGTCCAGCGATCAAACTCAATGCCCGAATCGGGTGAGACGCCAGTTGCTTTGGCCAGATGCGCGGCCATAAACCCGCCCGTTTGCATGCACTTGCAGTCGGGGGCAATGCAATTGCATGAGAATTTCGAGCCACGACCGCAGCGCGCAACCAGGCTGGGATTGCCAGAGAGCATAGTGGCCGAGGAGCAGCCAGCTGTGTTTCCAATGATATTAACGCTGTTGCCCTCATCCATGGCCTGCCCATCGCAGGGACTCAAACGGAGCTGGCTCTCAAAGGATTGCAGCTGCTGCATGAAATGGAAATTGGGCGAGACGTCCGATTTGCGAGCACGCACCAGCATGAAGGCATCATTCAGGCTGAGCGCCCGTGTGTGCATCAAATAGGCCAACGTCACCGTTACGGAGCGCGAGACACCTGCCAGGCAGTGGACCAGCACCGCCGAATTAGCAGAGCGCGCCTCCTCTGCAAGGCAAAGAGAGTGAACCAGTTGAGAATTACAAGCAAAATAATGATAATTTAGCATACGCACCTATAAAGTGTATGGCAGCTGGAAAATGCATCGCCAGATCCTGGGAATAATGATCGGTAATGGGTATTTGCAGATATTTAATAATGCCCAATTTCTCAAACTCATTCGGCAAATCGGGTGTCACATTCAGCACGTACTAAATGGGGAAATAGCAAAGATTTAGATCTGAACTCAAATGTAATGTATTGGGCCTATATATCATACCTTAATGTTGTACTTTTGCAAAGCATTCAAGTCGCTGCTGTGCGTGGAATTGCCCAGAAACAGGCCGGGCACTATCTCAACGGGCGCCTCATTGAAATTATGATGGTGATGGTGATGATGATGTGAGGTGCTCTCGCAGTCCGAGGACTCGGCGGAACTGCTGCACGCCGAATCGGAATGTGGCGTGGAAATGCGTAGCGACCTGTAAGTGAAATGTAAAGTTTATTAGATCAAAATTGTGGCTTTTGAAGTGTTAATAGATAGGACATATAAAATGTGTATATTAGATAAAGTATTGTCTCTATTTCCAAACTCTATCAAGGAATTTGCCACATAAAATATATATAAAAAAAACATAAAATTGTTTTCACATTAAAATTATTTATGCAAAACTTGTCTTAAATGTTTCCAAATTTACAAAATAAATTTTAATTAAATATATTTTAATCTGCTTTCATCGTACTTTGAGATCTTTTATTGCTCAAACTATCTTTGTTTATATTATCTCTATCTCTCTCTTTAGCGCCCTCTTATTGTATGAGATTCGCATAGAAAAGCTCTGCTTAATTCTTTATCTATTCAATTCTATATTTCTCTACGCTTCTATTTTTGGTTTACACTAAGCCAGGTCAGAATAAAGTTAGATTCTAAACAATCAATTAGACAAGACTCAAATTAAAGCTTCATCGCAATTGACTTAAAAAATAGTTATATTATTATAATTAATTATACACTTAGTTCCGCAAGTGGCTATGGTCTACTCACTTAAGACCCATTAACTGATCGGCCTGTGCATTGCGACTAGATTCCATTTCTTTGTTGTGCGCCTGGTTATCATCCTCACACCACTCCGGAAAGCTTTGGCGAAAACTGGAGAAGCCATCTGAAACCAAAGTGGAAGAGAGAGAGAGAGAGAGATGTTATAAATATGAAACTTTAGATACATATGCAAACTATAGATACAGATACAGATAAAGATATAAAAGAATCAACTTTTAAGTATGCTTTTGAACTATGCGCGTGTTTTGTTTGGCTTTTGTACGCTTGAAAAATATTTCGTTATGCTTAGCCAAGTGTGTCCTTTTGCTGTATGGGTAAGACAACACCTATTCAACACAAACACACACACACCCCAGCCACGCCTCTGCCACAACAACAGCACTTGCCCCATCTACCGGTGCGCTGAAGCGTGCGTGAAATTCTTGCCGTTTGCGTGGCTCATTCATAAAATACGACTTTCGTTGAACGTCGCTGTCGTAGATTCCAATTAGAAACGGAAGTGGCTGCCATACGAGACGCGACTCGCGACGCAAAGGAAAATGGGGCACAAACGGAAATGCTCTTTCTATATGTTTGCAAGCCGGCAACCGAACTGGCGCAGCTGAGCTGGGCGAGGGGCACAACATTATGATGACTGCGTTCACTCGCTGCGAATTGTCATAACACAAAACGGAAGCATACAATTTCCTAGATGGCGCATTATAAATGCGATTCCGCATTTGAAATTGAGCACCATCAACAGCAGCAGCAGCAGCAAGAGTAACTCTGCTATCAGCCAGTGGACCAACGGGTTGTATACGCGATCAAGTAGTCGTCGTTAGCTTAAGAGAGAAGCGCCGCGCTTTCAGCTAAAGGCCAATAGAGACTAGCGCACTAGAAGCAACCAAATGAGTCCAAACTCAAAACTGCATTTGATAGCAATTTCAGCAGCAAAGAGCTGACTAACTGAAGACAAAATTCTTTGAAATTCATCTGACTTGTCTGACTTGAAAATCGTTTTTTTTTTTACTAATACTTTAAATATATATCTCTGTCATTAAGATAATAATTCATTAAAATTGTATAGTTTGCTTAAGTCATCTTAAAAACTAAACAACTTTTTCATATAAGAGCTAAATTTTAGACCTATAATTCCTATGACAGCTATATGATATAGAAGTCGGCTGTTAGCCAAATTATTGTACTTATTAAAGAAATTCAGTTAAACTAATATATAGTCTGTTTCATTAAGCTATCTTGAAATTAACCAAAGTTATTCATATAAGAACTAAACTTTAGACCTATTATTTCTCGGGCAGCTATGTGATACAGGCAGAAGTTGCACCTATAAAGACTTTTAATAAATATAATGAATAAATAATCTATTTATATGTTCATAAAAGAACTAAATTTGAGAGCTATAAGTCCTATGGCTATCCGGCCTAGTATTCTGAGCAAATTCCCAAATCTATACAAAACTTTCAATGCTGTGATCTGAGTCACCATAGAACAGACACGCAAACAGATAGCGCAATATGACTATATAGACACTGATCAAGTATAAAGTATTTATTAAAAGCTAACAGAACACAAAGACTATATTTGGCCAGGCCAGGAAATTGAAGGCTTCTCAAACTTTTCACACAAAACTCTCGAAAGGTTAAGCTAAAATCGATTCGAGTTTGTCAAAATTAAAATCTAGTTGAGAAACTTGCAAACTTTTGCTATATATATATATATATATATATATATATATATATATATATATATATATATATATTTGTGTGTGTATTTATCTTTTTCTTTGGCCATCTTGAAGTGCTTTCTGGCCACTTCACATAAAATATATGCTGACAATAGAAATTTTATAAATAGAAATTTATTTGATATTCAATTGTTTCTTCATTGTTGTTTACTGTTTGTCGCTTTCCATATTTTTGCGCGTGTTGCGCTTCCTGTTTTTGACTCCACGAACGAACGACCGAACAATCGGACGGGCGTACGTACGTACGTGTCCGGTAGCACGGTTCAACGGATTGGCGTTCCACTAAAGGGCACACTTTAAGTGCAGTGCGTCATACGCCTGGGATGAGGGCGCCAAACGCAGAACCCAACCGCAGTTCCAAGCTAATTAGCCTAGCGCCCAAATTGTAAATAAGCTACCCAAAAGGGTAGTCCGCTAGCGAACGGCCATATTCCAGCGATACAAACTGGAAACCACCAAGTCGACCGCTTGTCTAACTGTTTACGCGACAAAAGCTCGCCTACGTCATTTCCGCTGGAACGGCGAGCAAGGGGTGGGCTAGAGGGATGGGCACGCTGGCATTGGGGAGTAATAACTAGGTAAATGTGAATGAAATGAATACAGCTCCAATGATTACGTGGGCGTGTATGTGAGCGAGTGCGTGTGTATGTGTGTGTGCGTGTGTGTGAGTCTGTTTTTGTATCTCAAGTCAAAGCGGCAGCTATGTTAGCAAAAAGTTACTTAACTCACGTTTTTATACCCTATAAAAAAGGGATAAGAAGGGATATGCTGAGCTTAAGGCCAGTCAAACTTGTTTTTAACATGCATAATTAAAATATATACATATATATAAATTAATTAATTGAATAAAATACAAATTTTAAATATTAAATATATAATAATTTAAAATAAATAATTTAAAAAAAAAATTTAAAAAAATAAATATTTGTCTTATTTGTATTTTAAAAATGTAAAATTTTCAATAATAAAATGTTATCATATATTTTTTTCATTTCAAATTTTTAAAGAGTATTTTCTTAGTCGTTACGATCTGCTTTTCATATTTTTGCTCACTTTTTTATATGTGAATATTTATTTTATAACTCACGCTCACAGCACACGACGGACGGTCAAACAAACAAACAACTGGAGAGAGACGCGGTAGATAAGCCTCACCAAGGCAGAAGACAAAACAAACAAATAAAATTAAATATTAAATAAAAGTAATAAAATAATAAAAAAAGCAATTCGCGGCGAAAAACAATGAATGAACAACAAGAAAAGGTGAGCGAGCAGAAGTCTAGATAATTGCACGACTCGCAGATACCCTGCACGCAAACAAGCTTAACAAGTTAACTCGCTGTGCGAGCCTACCCCGCTGCACACTCATTGCGCCCGCAGGGTATTTGGAAACGAGCAATTTTTTTGTCGTCCGCCAGTTGTAAAAACTTGCATGTATTATTTATAATGTTATTTCGGCTTTGTTGTTATTGCCTTAATAAATAAATAATCCAAATATTGCGCTTAGCATGACAAGCACATCCCGTGGGCGGTGGCTGCAAATATTCCAAAAAAAAACTCGCCATGGGTGGGTGTTTCTATATATATTTATATGTGTGTGCGTGTGTAGAACCAGGTGTTTGACAGAGCGGGAGAGTTGTAAGCGCAGACAGTTGAGGGGTTGGAGCTGCTCTAAGCTTTAGTTCAAATCCGGTTTTAAAGACCACAAAAGGAACGAGACAATAAATAGGCAATATGTATGTATTTTAAGTAGTTTCAGCTCACAAATTGTTAGTGTCATTTATTTATTTTTTGTTATTGTGTTATTTGTCGCTGTTTTTATGGTTTTTGTTTTGTTATTTTTTTCTACTTTTCAAGTTTTTTTTTTTTTTTTGTTAAGTTTACATTTTTCACGTTTTGAAGGTCGTTTCCACTGTGCGCGAATCTTGTCATTGTTGTTGCTGCTGCTGCTGTGATTATTGTGTGAACTCATCAATGAAACAATACAGAATTGTGGACAAATACACACACACACACAGTTACAGTCTGTTTTATATAAGGCTTGTGCACAGGTGTGGGGGGCTATGTGATAAGCACAGATATGCAATCACATATATGCATATAGTTATATATAATATATACCTACATATACTATGAATCTAGACAAAAGATATGAATGGTCGGCATTCGAGACAATTGCGAAGAGCGATAAGAGATAACGACCTTTGAGTTATTCGCAACAGTTACGTTTGAGCTACTGTGAGCACTCGAAAATGAAAATAGTTTGTTGACTTAAACTCATGAAAATCGCATAGAAAGGTCAAATTAAGTAAAGAAAGAGCTGCCAAGCACATAACCTAAATCTCGAGCGTTGAAAATAGAGACTGTATACATGAGAAGCGCATAGAAAGGTCATGTTTATTAAAGAATGCTGAACTCTGCGTACCCACAGTTTCCATTTGATTATATTTATGTCATATTAGATATAATATGATCTATATATGTTTCCACATCAACAATAACTCAATTTGATGCTATAAATTTGCTGAAGATTTATAGAGCATTCACTTTAAAAATAAGACGTAAGACAAAAGGAAACAGAAGATGCTCGAAAGGCATGGCAATAGGTCAGGCTTGACATTTCGCTGTGTGGGCAGTGGCTCGTGTTCGCGCTCAATCAATCATGTTGTAATCAATCAATCAACTCGAGCCCGAGTTGCACGAGTATTTAAAATGTCAACCGGCTGTGGGCTCTTTGCTTAATGGGAATTTCTTGCGACATTATTTTAACATGAATGAGAACCTTTTGAAACGAAACTAAAGTATGCTCAGCCCAGAAGAAAAGTTTCTTCTGCAATGCATTAAATAATTTCCCCATCACAAGCGGAAGTGGCAGTCATTAATATTTTCGCCTTTTAGCTGGCGCTCATTTCCATTTACCCCCAGTACTCTATTTGTTCTCGGTCTTTTTTTGTTTTGCTTTTTATTATTGCTTCCCCACAATTTTTCCCCTCGCACTTTGTTTATGCGAGCAGCTAAAAAAATGTTGCTCCAAAAATAAAGCAACAGAAGGCAAAACTGGAAAATTTGGGGCGTCTGTGGAAATGTAAACAAAATGGGGCCACATCGGTTTGGGATGGTTTTTTTCTCATTTTTTCTTTAACTTTTATATATTTTGATTCTTTTTTCTTTCTGTCTTTGTGAGTGTGTTTCTTTCGTAACTCACGAATACTACAAATGTGGGGTTGGCTCCTCTTTTTATATATATATATATATGTATAATGTCTGCCATTCCGTCAGAGTCTGACTCATTGACAAATAGCATTGAACTGCAGGCGATGTTCTCGTCGTTGTCTTTTCATTCATGGAGCTCGGAAACC